AATAATCTAGAATTTAACTGGTATAAAGGTGATGATGAAAAATGCAACAAAGTTGCGGTATCTATTTTATTCTTTTAAAGAGAGCCTATTATGACAGGTTCAGTTAGATGAACAATCCATGAACACTAAAGCCCACTGTACTTATGTTGCCATAAGCCCCTGATAACTTACCAGGTTAACTAGTCAAAGAGCTTCAGAACTTGTCTGAGTTCCATCGGATGCTTACCTCTGCAGCTACAAAACTCTGAGCTAAGCCTGGAGGTACAGAGGATTGCTCATTGGCTGTAAATGCTCAACTGATGCTTTCAGCCAAATAGCCGCCCCTACAAGTTGAGCAAATGGAAGCTCCTTGCTCCATTCTCAGACACTCAAGATACTGACAGACAAAAAAGGGACACTTTAGGCACCCCAACCACTTAATCTCATTGGAGTAGTCTAGATGCAGTTCCTTTGTCCCCTTAACCATGCAATGTACAACATTGTGGTTTCAGCAAAACTGATATAATTACATTGCAGTTTTAAATCCACCTCTTACAGACACCTAATAGAGTAGCTTCCTGGCTTTTTACTGAGTTTAACTCCTTGACACTATGTTGGACTTCCTCATTGTTTGCATCTTCATGCCCCCATTGGCGTGATGTTTATTGCAGAGGGACACTATAGTGTTTGGAATACATTTTTGCATTCATGACACTATAGTGTTCCTTTAAGTGCAATGTATAGGTTAAAGGACCACTATAGGCACCCAGACCACTTCAGCTTAATGAGGTGGTCTGGGTGCGTGGTCCATCTAGGTTTAACCCTTGTTTCTATAAATGGGTTAATCCAGCCTCTAGTGGCTGTCTCATTGACAGCCGCTAGAGCGCTTCTGCGCTTCTCACTGTGATTTTCACAGTGAGAAGACGCCAGCGTCCATAGGAAAGCATTGAGAATGCTTTTCTATGGAATGGCTGAATGCGCTCGCAGCTCCTGCCGCGCATGCGCATTCACCCGAAGAGAAGGAGAGGAGGAGGAGAGCTCCCCGCCCGGCGCTGGAGAAAGAGGTAAGTTTAACCCCTTCCTCTCCATCCAGCCCGGCGGGAGGGGGGCCCTGAGGGTGGGGGCACCCTCAGGGCACTATAGTTCCAGGAAAATGAGTATGTTTTCCTGGCACTATAGTGGTCCTTTAAGTTATAGCCTATTTCTATCATTTAAATTCTATGTGCATATTTATGCAATATTTTTGTATAATTAAAGGACCACTATAGGCACCCAGACCACTTCAGCTTAATGAGGTGGTCTGGGTGCCAGGTCCTTCTAGGGTTAACCCTTTTTTTTAATAAACATAGCAGTGTCAGAGAAACTGCTATGTTTATAAATGGGTTAATCCAGCCTCTAGTGGCTGTCTCATTGACAGCCGCTAGAGGGCCTCCGCGCTTCTCACTGTGATTTTCACAGTGAGAAGACGCCAGCGTCCATAGGAAAGCATTGTGAATGAAAAATATATTGTGAATGCTTTCCTATGGACTGGCTGAATGTGCGCGCAGCTCCTGCCGCGCATGCGCATTCAGCCGAAGAGGCGGAGAGAAGGCAGAGAGGAGGAGGAGAGCTCCGCCTGGCGCTGGAGAAAGAGGTAAGTTAACCCAGGTTAACAACTCATAGACATATGCTGTTGCTAGGTCTTCAAGGATAAGAGGCTGAACCCTGGCATTGCTTCATGTATGGATTGCTTTCCTCCTCTGAACAAGGGAATTGGGTCAGACCCAAGCAGGGCCGTCTTTAAGGAGGGGCAAACGGGGCAGCTGCCCTGGGCCCAGTTACTTATGGGGGGCCCAAAGCAGCTGCCCCGTGGGCCCCGTCGCCTGCAATAAAATTTTTATTTTTTAAAATATTTCCCTACCTAATGGGCCCGCGGTGCTAGTATTGCGGCTGCACCGGGGCCCGCACACTAAGGGGCCCCCCCCGGGTGGCCCCTACCTTTAGGGCCGCCCAGTGAGCATGTTCCAGCAGGGGTCTGGTCGGCGCTGTGGCCCTTTAACAGCGCGACCGGGCCCCTTGCTTAACGGCTGCATGGGAGGAAGTGACGTCCGCGAATCACTTCCTCCCACCTCAAAGATATCGGGCCGCGCGGGAGGCTGCTGAGCCAGCATCCAGTGAGGAGGGGGAGCAAGAAGAGCCAGACCCCCAACTCCCAACTACCCCAGCCAGCACACTGGACCCCAGGGAAGGAAGCCTCTTTCAAAGGTAGGAAACTGAAGAGTGTCTGTCTGTGTGTGTGTCAGTTTGTATGTGTCAGTCAGTATATGTCTGTGTGTGTGTCAGTATGTATGTCTGTGTGTCAGTTTGTATGTCTGTGTGTGTGTCTGTATGTCTGTGTGTCAGTTTGTATGTCTGTGTGTGTGTCAGTATGTATGTCTGTGTGTCAGTTTGTATGTCTGTGTGTGTGTCAGTATGTATGTCTGTGTATGTGTCAGTATGTATGTCTGTCACAGTGTCAGTATGTCTGTCACAGTGTCTGTGTGTGTGTGTGTGTGTGTCAGTGTGTATCTGTATGTTGTCAGTATGTATGTATCTGTGTGTGTGTGCCAGTGTGTATACCTGTGCATGTATCTATATGTAGCCAATGTGTGTATCTGCATGTGTGTCAGTGTTTGTATCTGCATTTGTCAGGTTATGTATCTGTGTGTCTGTATGTTGTCATTGTGTGTGTCTGTGTATCTGTATGTTGTCAGTGTATCTGCGTGTCTGCATGTGTGCCAGGTTGTGTGTCTGTATGTGTGTGTGTCAGTGTGTGTAAATGTGTCTGTATAGCTGCATCTGTATGATTGTGTATATCTGTGTATCTGCAAGTGTTTCTGTGTGTGTATGTGTATCACAGTGTGTGTGTGTTTGTGACAGTGCATGTGTATTTGTGCATACATCTCAGCATTCAACACTACACGCAAATACACACCTGCATTCAAACTTCAACACTACATATAAACACACCTCTTTTTTTAAACAACAAAATTATATATAAACACACCAGTGTATTCATAAACCAACACTACACATAAATGCATACTTGCATTTAAATGCCATCTCCACATACAAACACACCCCTACATTCACACAAACATACTCCATACAAAAACATGCTTACACTCAAACACACAAATACTGCTCAGTGCTAAATATAACCCTGCATGCATAGGAAAATGGTAGCGCCCCAGCTGTCAAAGCATTGTTGGAGTTGCATGACAGATGGGGATCTACCTTTTGCCCCCTCTTGCCCCAAATAATTCATGCACCAGAGCCCTCTCTACTTTACGTCCGCCTCTGCGTTGGGGTGGGGGGGCATGATTGCATGCCAGGGAGGGGACGACTGGGTTCAGGGGGCCCAAGCAAATGTTTGCCCAGGGTCCAATCCATATTAAAGACGGCCCTGGACCCAAGGTCACTAAAGGGGTTACCCAGGCTAACAACTCATAGACAAATGCTGTTGCTGGGTCTTCAGGGATCAGAGGCTGAACCCTGGCAGGGACACAAAAATACTGGCCTAGTGACCATAGAAGAAAAATCTAGACCTGCTTAACAGACTCCTTCGAAGCTGCTGTGAAGGGCAGGAAAAAAAGACTGCCTGTTGGGGAGGGGATTAATATATTTATACAAATTTCAGAGTTCTATTTCCTGTCCTTTCTGCTGTGAGGGGAGGAGCTAACTCATGGGTAAATGCTGCCATGTTTGATCATAAAAAAATATATAGTGCAAAACTGTGGTTTAACCCCTTAAGGACTGAGCCAAATGTACACGTTGTGATCAAAACAAAACGTAAACAAAAACTTTAATTTGCTCTATATGTCTGTTCAGGCGTAATTCACCTCTTTCATTTTATGTGCACCCACACTTATTATATATAATTTTATTCAGGGGAAACAGGGCTTTCATTTAACATCAAATATTTAGATATAAAACATAATTTAATATGAATAAAATATTACAAAATGGGAGAAAATACGTGACATTCTAACTGTTACATTTTTCAGTTTTTTCACATTGAAATTCGCCAGATTGGTTACGTTGCCTTTGAGACCGTATGGTAGCCCAGGAATGAGAATTATCCCCATGATGGCATATTATTTGCAAAAGTAGACAACCCAAGGTATTGCAAATGGGGTATGCCCAGTCTTTTTTTAGTAGCCACTTGGTCACAAACACTGGTCAAAATTTGTGTTAATATTTGAAAATGTTAAAAAACTAATTTGAATGTCAATTTTGGCCAGTGTTTGTGACTAAGTGGCTACTAAAAAAGACTGAACATACCCCATTTGCAATACCTTGGGTTGTCTACTTTTGCAAATGGTATGCCATTATGGAGGTAATTCTCATTCCTGGACTACCGTACGGTCTCATAGGCAACGTAACCAATCTGGCGAATTTCATAGTGAAAAAACTGAAACGCAAGCCTTATATTTGACTCTCTACCTTTTGAAAACACCATAAAACCTGTACATGAGGGGTACGGTTATACTCGGAAGACTTCGCTGAACACAAATATTAGTGTTTCAAAACGGTAAACCATATCAAAACAATTATATTGTCCGTGTAAGTGCCATTTGGGTGTGAAAAATGCAAAAAATGTCACTTTCACTGACAATATCGTAGTTGTAATACATGTTACTGTTTTGAAACACTAATATTTGTGTTCAGCGAAGTCTTCCGAGTATAACTGTACCTCTCATGTAAAACAGTATATATATATTTGTAGTCGGGGCAACATAGTCATATACAGAAATCTAGCTTATAATAATCATAACATTGTTGTGGATCCAAATAATGATCTTTGTTATATTCAGAGGAAGACCAAATTAATATTACAAGTGCACTTGGAAAAGCGAGAATTAGACACCAGACACCTGTTGGTATTCAAAATAAGCCTCTGACGTTTTATTTATCAGCTGGGTTTTATTCATTAAAAAGTAAGTGCTTACGTGCAAATACTCTTAAAACAGTAATAGGAAGAGAGAACAGATAAGACATAGGGATGAGCGTCATGTACACATAACAAATAAGTTTCAAGGTAAGAGAGAACAAAATGATTAGAGCAGAGACATCTTAGGTGGGGGCTCCCTGCTCCCAGAACTTAGACATATATGGTCTTAAGTGTTGTTTAAGCATCAAGCATTTCCTGAGTCCAAGTTAGCCAATTTTAATATAGAATATCATTATATGACACCTATAAGCTTGAGCCTTGGAATCAAGATAAATTCTATCACAATCCCCTCTTTTGATCCAAGAGTCACCCAAATGTCCAAGGTATATCCAGGCCTGCTAGCCAAAGCCTGTGGGACTTTCATTTATTGCTTCACCACGGTTCCCTTGTACTGAGAGACCACCAGAATCAGCAGAGGAGAGTTCCTTCATTTGTTAGGAGAGGTAACATCATAAAATCCTTCCAAAGTCAGAGCTGGAATGTAAGTTAAGGTACGACCAACAGTAGGTTTGTTTTTACGTAGAGAGGTTAATAGACATGAGAAAAATCTAAAGGTTAGAAAAATGGACATAATAACAAATATAGCTAATGGCAAAAAGTACAAAATGTTCTTCATTTGTAAAGTCAATTGCTGCTCTATTCTCAATGATTGCCTTCTTATTTGCCTGGTTGTCCAGAAGTAGCTCTTCTAGGGCCTGTGAAGTAGCATTTAAACCTTTTGCAAGGGAACAGGCTACAGCATTAACTACTCGGGTAGATATTTATGGGGTCTATGGGTATGTAGGTACTTCCTCAAGAGTGAGATGGGGGTAGGGACAGCTATAAGACAAGATTCTATGGCGTTTTCAGTACTGAGGAGAGGGTTGAGGCAAAAGCCTTTGCTATCTGCAATTATATATGTCCCTGCTATGCATTATTATCTTCTGGTCTCAAGTCAGAGTAGCATATCTGAACAGAGCATACAATGGTAAAGGATAAGAACAGCTTCATGTCGGTGGATCAGTCGGAGTGACTTGTTTACAGTGACTGGCGTGTATCCACGTTGCTTTTCCTTTTAGTTTCACTGAGGTAGCCGTAGTCAAGAGCACTTGGAATGGACCGTCAAAGCGTGGTTCAAGTCCTTTCCTCACATGCCTCTTTATCACCACCCAATCACCAGGCTGCAGTTTGTGAGTTGCAGAATCAGAGTCTGGATCTGGAATAGAATCAAAGACTTGTTTATGCACCCTGCCTAATCTTTGGTGTAGGGCCTGTACATAGGCAGTCATACTACCATGCTGCATCTGGAGGGTCTGGGGAAAATAGAGGCCTGTCTTTGGGGCACATCCTAACAGTATCTCAAAAGGGGATGGGCCATGTCTAGAATTGGGTCTGAATCTCATAGAAAAGAGTGCTAGGGGAAGGCATTCAGTCCAGGGCTTCACTGTTTCTTGCATGGCTTTTGCAATCTTGTTTTTTAAGGTGCCATTTGCCCTTTCTACTTTCCCTCTACTCTGGGGGTTAATAGGGGGTGTGGAAGGCCTGACTGATCCCTAAGGCTTTTATAATTTCTTGCATTATTTCCCCAGTGAAATGGCTACCTCTGTCATTTTCAATCACTTCAGGTACTCCATATCTATATACCAGTTCTTTCAGAAGCTTACTTGCTGTGACCTTCGTTGTGGCTTTCGACACTGGGTAGGCCTCAGGCCAACCTGAAAAGAGATCAATGCACACCAACACATATTCATACACTCCTACCTTAGGCAGTTGAATATCTGCAGTCTTTGAAGCGGATAAAGTGGCCTTGGTGTGCTTACTTGGTGTTTTGACAGCCTGTCCTGGATTGTTTCTAGCACAAATCATGCAAGCTTGGGTGTGTTTATCTGCTACAACAGTAAATCGGGGTGCTACCCAGTAGGTATTTACTTATGCTGTACATGTGCATCTTGGATAGATGTGTAGGTCCATGAGCAATCTGGGCCATCATGGGGTACAATACTCGTGACAAACACAATCTTTTACCTTTCCTCCACATTCTGTCATCATCAGGTTCTGCATCTTGTTTCGTCCAGAGGTCATGTTCTTCCTTGCTTGCCTGTCTTTGTAAGCTCAACAGTATATTGTAGTCAACGGCGTCATCTGTAAGAACAACTTGCAGGAAGGTATTACCTATAGAGGGATGAACTTGAATTGCTTCTTGCTTGGCAGCTTCGTCTGCTTTGTGGTTTCCTCTTGAGATTTCATTTGTGATCTTCACGTGAGCTGCCACCTTGATGATGCCTACTTGAGTGGGTAGCAGGATAGCATCCATAAGTGCACTCACGGCTTCAGAGTTCTTGATTGGAGATCCTGCTGAGGTGAGAAAATCACAGGCCCACCATATAGGGCCAAAATCATGGGCTATACCGAAAGCATAGTGAAAGTCTGTAGAAATATTAGCAGTCTTACCAGAAGCCATTTTACACGCTTCAGTGAGTGCCTTCAGCTCTGCCTCCTGTGCAGAGCAGTGAGGAGCGAGTGGTTCAGCTTTTATTACCTCGTGTGCAGAGACTACAGCATATCCAGTGTGGAAATTACCCTTCTCATCAGCATATCTGGAACCATCTACAAAAAACTCAAAATCTGCATTAGATAATGGAGAATCAATTACATGCAAAAAACCTGCTGTCTCTTGTGCCATTAGTGCTGCACAATCAGCTGGGCATCAGCTAACTCATCTGGTGAAAATGAATTTACAAAAAGATCAGAAGTACAAGTACCATTCACACTATCCCCACTCCCCTCTTTTAAATCCAGGGGAAGCAATGTAGACGGATTTAACACCATACACCTTTTAAGAGTAACATTAGGTGGCATAGGCAAGGCACATTGCATTCTGAGATGCCTTGCAGTATGTATGTGTTTTGCTTGAACTTGTGAGAGTATGCTGTTGATATCATGTGGTGTGTATATGGTCACCGGATTATCTAAAACAATATCAGTGGCTTTGTCCAGGAGGGAAGTAACAGCCGCCACTGCCCTAACACATGAGGGGGCACCCCTGACAACAGGGTCCAATCTGGTGGAGTAGTATGCTATTTGTCTTTGTTTACCACCATGATCCTGTGTAAGGACAGATGTAGCATAACCTGATTGCTCAGTACAGAACAGGTTAAAATTATTTCTGTAATCTGGGAGACCCAGTGCCGGAGCTGACGTTACCAGTAACTTAAGGGTATAGAAGGCATTTTCTGCCGCATGGGTTAATTTAAATGGTTTGTTTTCGTTGGCAAGACAATCATACAGTGGTTGCATGTAGATAGCTACGGAACGCAGCCAAGGACGGCTGTAAGAAATCAAACCGAGGAAAGTACGAACCTAACACACACACTAACACACACACACTCTAACACACACACACTTACACACACACACACTCTAACACACACACACACACACTCTAACACACACACACTCTAACACACACGCTGAGGGGATTCACTAGGGTCTAGTGGTATCACCGGGCGGGCAGGCAGGGTGGCGGGTGCACCCTCTTCCGGCACTGGCATCCCTACGCGGCGCGCGAGGGAGCTGAAGAGGAAGCACTCAGCTTCTCCCCCCAGGAGAAGAGACTGGCCACAGTGGGCCCCCTGGTGGGCCTGGCCCGGTCGCAGCCTCGACCCCTGCGACCCCGGTATGTACGCCACTGCCCATACATTACCATCCTCTTCAGATTCTGTTTAGGTCCATCCAGCAGATTATCCAGAAGGTTATGGTTTGTTCTGATGAGTTCCTGTTTACCCTGTAGTCCCAGCTCCACACTGACTGGCTTCATATTGTTCAAACTCTTGTTAGATACTCTCAGATTATTATGATGCTTGATGACATCACTGCTTAGTGGTATCCTTATAAAGTAAATAGGCACATCAAATGTCTTGGGTTTATTATCCTCAATAGTTGTCTATAACTATAAATTGTATATAAAAATAAGTCTGTACAATATTGTTTTTTTTATTTTATGATTTTATTTTTATTTTTCAGTGACAATATAATCAAAATTACTCTAATTGTTTGAAATGGTTTGGGAGAGGAACACTGCTTTACGTATTCAAAGACAAATAGCTTTAACTATCCAAACATAAACCAAAGATAATCATCTATAGTCAGGGCCAGATTAAGAACCCAGTGGGCCTGTTGCTGACAATTATGATGGGCCTAATTACAAAATCTTATCGACCAAAAACACTAAAAAAAAACAGTCCTACCTCCCAAGCGTCATGTATCTGATGGAGATGGTGCTGGATGCAGCCATTCGAAAACACATACCTTATGCTAATCGCAGGGCCGTCTTTAAGGAGGGGCAAACGGGGCAGCTGCCCTGGGCCCAGTTACTTATGGGGGGCCCAAAGCAGCTGCCCCGTGGGCCCCGTCGCCTGCAATAAAATTTTTATTTTTTAAAATATTTCCCTACCTAATGGGCCCGCGGTGCTAGTATTGCGGCTGCACCGGGGCCCGCACACTAAGGGGCCCCCCCCCGGGTGGCCCATACCTTTAGGGCCGCCCAGTGAGCATGTTCCAGCAGGGGTCTGGTCGGCGCTGTGGCCCTTTAACAGCGCGACCGGGCCCCTTGCTTAACGGCTGCATGGGAGGAAGTGACGTCCGCGAATCACTTCCTCCCACCTCAAAGATATCGGGCCGCGCGGGAGGCTGCTGAGCCAGCATCCAGTGAGGAGGGGGAGCAAGAAGAGCCAGACCCCCAACTCCCAACTACCCCAGCCAGCACACTGGACCCCAGGGAAGGAAGCCTCTTTCAAAGGTAGGAAACTGAAGAGTGTCTGTCTATGTGTGTGTCAGTTTGTATGTGTCAGTTAGTATATGTCTGTGTGTGTGTCAGTATGTATGTCTGTGTGTCAGTTTGTATGTCTGTGTGTGTGTCAGTATGTATGTCTGTGTATGTGTCAGTATGTATGTCTGTCACAGTGTCAGTATGTCTGTCACAGTGTCTGTGTGTGTGTGTGTGTGTGTGTGTGTGTCAGTGTGTATCTGTATGTTGTCAGTATGTATGTATCTGTGTGTGTGTGCCAGTGTGTATACCTGTGCATGTATCTATATGTAGCCAATGTGTGTATCTGCATGTGTGTCAGTGTTTGTATCTGCATTTGTCAGGTTATGTATCTGTGTGTCTGTATGTTGTCATTGTGTGTGTCTGTGTATCTGTATGTTGTCATTGTATCTGCGTGTGTGTGCGTGTGTGCATCTGTGTGTCTGCATGTGTGCCAGGTTGTGTGTCTGTATGTGTGTGTGTCAGTGTGTGTAAATGTGTCTGTATAGCTGCATCTGTATGATTGTGTATATCTGTGTATCTGCAAGTGTTTCTGTGTGTGTATGTGTATCACAGTGTGTGTGTGTGTGTGTGTGTGTGTGTGTGTTTGTGACAGTGCATGTGTATTTGTGCATACATCTCAGCATTCAACACTACACGCAAATACACACCTGCATTAAAACTTCAACACTACATATAAACACACCTCTTTTTTTAAACAACAAAATTATATATAAACACACCAGTGTATTCATAAACCAACACTACACATAAATGCATACTTGCATTTAAATGCCATCTCCACATATAAACACACCCCTACATTCACACAAACATACTCCATACAAAAACATGCTTACACTCAAACACACAAATACTGCTCAGTGCTAAATATAACCCTGCATGCATAGGAAAATGGTAGCGCCCCAGCTGTCAAAGCATTGTTGGAGCTGCATGACAGATGGGGATCTACCTTTTGCCCCCTCTTGCCCAAAATAATTCATGCACCAGAGCCCTCTCTACTTTACGTCCGCCTCTGCGTTGGGGTGGGGGGGCATGATTGCATGCCAGGGAGGGGACGACCGGGTTCAGGGGGCCCAAGCAAATGTTTGCCCAGGGTCCAATCCATATTAAAGACGGCCCTGGCTAATCGCATGCTTTCATCTATCAAGTAAATCAATACCCCCTAACAGCAGTGTCCAGTAAAGCAGTGTAACCGCATGTGGTTCCCTTATTTACAACTATAATGTCTTAAAGCATAGAACTTAGTAGGGCTAACCATACAGATATCTTAGCCTTAATTTTATATAGTGTAAGAGATCCTCTATTTACATATATAAATAATTGAGAACACAATATAAAATAAGGATTGTCTTGGAAGCAAGATTGTCTTTTGGATATTTATTATATAAAAATATAAATATAAAATCCCTTATAGCAGAGTTTATAAGATTAAATTACATGCTTGCAAATATCATTAATAGGTTAACATACCCTTCTGAACATGTCATCGTGTCAGCCTCTCTGTCATTTTAAGATGGAGCAGCGTCTGTCTCCAAGTCTCTCCTCTGTATCTTAATATTTAAAAGTACACCTATTTATACCTCTGTCTCCATTTTAGGTTACCGTAGATCAAATATGAAAAAGTAACACTTCTTTTACTTTATTCAATTTAGGACCTCCCTTAACTTGGCAAACATACAAGGCCATAACTAAAGGGTGTATACGTCATGGAAATTTTCCTGACTTAGTTCAAGATGGCATCTTAAAGTCTGAATAGGTTATCTGTTGTTTATACTAAGTCGTAAGTGTACAGTCGTGGGAGATTCCCGGATTTGGGGAAGTTCCATTAACTTGGGGTTACCACAGTATATTGTGTACTGCAAGTGTCGTAGCTTGAAGCTTGTTTATGCATTATTGTTATTGTAATTCGTCTGGGACAAAATGGCGCAAACATATTATGCACTGAGGTTATTGCTTAAAGAAACAGTTATGAAAAACAATATGTTCCATTTCTAACACCTTGTCAGTTTGCAATATCTCTCAAAGAACACAGTTTAAGAAATACAACATTTCATTCTAAAACTTGTAATATTTACATTTGCCCATAACACCCTCTCCATTAAACTGTGGGCATTGCAGCGCATTTCTTCCTTAAATTAGTGAACCAAAGTTCTCCAACAGTCTTTAGGTTTTTTGTGCTCCCAGCATCATGGATCATTGTTGTAACAGTAAAATATCCGTAGTGTGATCTTTGCATGTAAAGATGGTTGATTAAAATGAGCAAAGCTTTTGTCTGGGAAAGAAGTGAAAAGAACACCAGGTTCCAGAGTAAGATATTTTTGGATGGATCCAGATACGAATTACAATCCAAAGTTAAAAGTAGTAATTGTATTTGTAATCCAAAATCTTTAAAGGCCTGTAGAAGTTTACATTCCTTAGATACATTGCTGGAGGTTGTGTTTGTAGAATACCCGGGTATTAGTTGTTTAGTATTGGTTGTAGAGTCCAGCTTTCCAAATATTTGGCTAGAATTGGTCGCAGATATTGAATCAGCATCATCTGTTATCACCGTGGTGATGGTGTTGGTATTTGTCTTTGTCTTTTTTTAATTTTGTTTTTTCCATTAAACATTTTTACACCATTTATGATGTGTGTAGATTGGATACTCTCCGATATTCTTTTACGGAATCAATTAATTGACAGCATTTCCAAGACATTGTCGTAAATGTTATGTTGATAAAGCATTCTAAGTGGATTCTCAAGAATGCCTCTTTTTGCGGTATTGGAATCTTTGTAACATCTCAGTGATAGACATCTCACTGACATCAGGTGCTGTTGTGCTAAAAATGTTAACAGGTAAAATCTGTGGAAAAATCTTTACATTTGTTATAGTTTGTATAATAATGATAGATGAAATAGTAACATAGTTAATCTTTCTAGTGTTTTGTTTTAAAGATAAACACCCTTGTATATGATTTAGATATAAAGAATAATTTGAAGCAGCAAAGTATTTACCGCCTTTGTTCACAATGGTATGTAAAATTACATTCTCTTTAAATGTTAAAAATACTCCTTTATTCAAAATCTCTCAATATATTTAGAATAGTTGCTAATTGGAAATATGACGTTAATTATCTTTCTTTATCCTGTTAGGGAGAAGACAACTTATTCCCTAAGATATAATTAGTAAATATAATAACTACAGTTATTAGTGGCTTAAAATACCAGAAACACCCCAAAATTGTCTTCAAAACATTTTTTTTTTTTTTTTAAAAACCAAGATCTGACAGCCATTGTGGAAAGTTAGGTTTGTGAGATTGGATGCTTAACAATGTGAATCTTAATTGTTTAAATATATTTACCAGCGGCTGTTGGGTGTAGCTTAAGATGATTTGGATTTTTTATTATTTCTAAAAGTGAGTTAAGAAAGCACTCAGATACAATATTGAAGGTATTTATATTTTATCTCTACCTTTGTATAAGTGGTTTTAATATATATACATAGAGTGGTATGGATGTTGAATTTATATCTTTGACATCTTTTCACCAATTTGCAATAGGTGACCTAAATTATTAATTTCCAAAATCATGTATATCACCTGGATGGGTTAATCCCTAATACTCTTTTACTTTCTATTGACTGGCCTTAGCTCTGGCAGACTGAATATTTGTATCATTATAAATAAACTTTATGATAGTTGAAGCAAAGTTTCTGCCTGTCTTTCAGTTAAATTTTAACTGTTGAAGTATTTCACTTATATTAATTATACCACTCTGCAAACTTAAACGAATATCGAGTAGTTTCTGATTTAATAAAAACATTTTACATTTTCTTCTAAAGTTTAAAACATTCATTATTGCAGTTGTTATTGCAATCATATGATCTTTAACTATCATGATTCAATTATTCATCTGGGTAATTAGCTGTTATGCTCTTATACTTTGTCTAATATATTTGTTTGTAGGCCAGACTGCAGCTGCATATGGCATTTTAGCAATAATCTACAATTGCGTTTCAGATATTCACAAAGTCTATCCACCTTTGTAATTAACACATTATGTGTTTCTTATACCATTAATTATAGTATCTGTATTATATTACACATTGTCACTGACACATTTCTGATACAGGGAAAAAAATAGCATGATTGCTTTAGTAATTATAAATTTTCGGTCCATGCACCACATTCCTGGAAGTCCAGAATATAGCAGGAATGCTTTGTCGTTTGATTCTATGGAGCCATTTAACGTTTTGATTGGTATAGTTATACCAAAAGAGCAAGGAGTAGGACGGTAGATCACATCTACAACAGAACCATTACAGATTCCTTGTTGTATCAATGTCTCTGTGTTTATGTTTACAGGAGTTCCTTGCTTTGCAGGTATGTACATAATATGAGAGTTTAAGAAAAGCTGCAAATCGTGCTTTAGTACAAGCAGTGGCGTACTAAGTGGGGTGCGGGGGGGGCGGTCCGCCCCAGGTGCCATCAGGCAGGCGGGTGCCACCAGGGCTGGCCAGTCTTGGGAGTCAGCGAGGTGTGTGGCTGCACCGGGTGCCATAGCAGCAAAGGCACCGGGCAGCCGACACAGCTCACACGCAGGGGCTGGGAATACAGCAAGAGACCTGCACGGAGATTTGGGGGCAGAGCCAGATCGGTTGTGGGGGCGGAGCCAGGCCAGACGTGGGGGCGGAGCTATATGCAGCCTCATACTGCTGCACACAGAGGGGAAGCAGGAAGGAGTCCCTGCTTCCCCAACTTACAGCACAGGAGGGACTGAATCCCCTCCTCCTCCAGCCCAAACTTACTGTAAGTTAGAGAGTGTGTGCTGTGTGTGTGTGTGTAACTGTGATTGTGACTGTCTTTGACTGTGTGTGTGATTGTCTGCTTGTGTGTGTGTGTGACTGCCTGTGATTGTCTGCCTGTGATTGTCTGTGTGACTCTGTGTGTGTGATTGTCTGACTGATTGTGTGTGTGTTTGTGTGTGTGTGACTGCCTGTGATTGTCTGCCTGTGATTGCGTGATTCTGTGTGTGTGACTCTCTGACTGATAGTGTGTGTGTTTGTGTGTGTGTGGCTGCCTGTGATTGTCTGTGTGACTCTGTGTGTGTGACTCTCTGACTGATTGTGTGTGTGTTTGTGTGTGTGTGAGACTGCCTGTGATTGTCTACCTGTGATTGTCCGTGTGATTGTCTGCCTGTGATTGTCTGTGTGACTCTGTGTGTGTGACTCTCTGACTGATTGTGTGTGTGTTTGTGTGTGTGTGACTGCCTGTGATTGTCTACCTGTGATTGTCTGTGTGATTGTCTACCTGTGATTGTCTGCCTGTGATTGTCTGTGTGATTGTCTGCCTGTGATTGTCTGTGTGATTGTCTGCTTGTGATTGTCTGTGTGACTCTGTGTGTGTGACTCTCTGACTGATTGTGTGTGTGTGTGTGACTGTGATTGTGTTATGTGTATGTATGACTGTCTGCCTGTGATTGTGTGTGTGTGTGTCAATGTGTGTGTGTGACTGCCTGTGATTGTCTGTGTTACTCTGTGTGTGTGTGTGTCACTGTGTGTGACTGTCTGACTGTGATTGTGTGTGTGTGTGTGTGTGTGTGTGACTGTCTGCCTGTGATTGTGTGTGTGTGACTGTCTGTGACTGTGTTGTGTGTATGTGTGACTGTCTGTGATTGTGTGTGTGACTGTCTGCCTGTGTGATTGCCTGCGTATTTGACTGTCTGCCTGTAACTGTGTGTAAGTGACTGTGTGTGGGACTGTGTGCATCTGACTGTGTCTGACGGTCTTCGCCCTGCAGTGAGCCGGCAGCCAGGATATGATGTCATCGCGGCCTCTGTGTCATTACAGGGCGTGCGTGCGAGAGATCCCAGCAGCAACCACTGACCACCAGGGACTGAGGATCCACTTCAGTCCTTCTAGAGCAAGGTAGGGAGGCTGGGTGGACCTCTTAATTATTAAATGGGCTGGCTGACACCTCTTAATTTCAATCTTTGTTTAGCAGATAACTCCTCTATTTGCTATCCTTTGTGGGATTGCCATATTTAAGGACACCAAATAATGTGCTATCTGCTAAACAGCACCCTCATTTGGTATCTTTAAATATGGAAATCTCACATACGGGCACCAATTCAGGGAATGATCTACTAAACAGCTAAAGGATAAAAAAGCCCTTTTCTTATTTTCAGTTGTTTAGTAGATAAATCCCTTATTTGTTATCTTTATGTGGGATTGCAATATTTGAGGACAGGAAATAAGGGAGCTATCTACTAAACACATACGCAGAGATACACACAATCACACACATAATCACAGCTATACACAAGCACAATCACTGACCCACGCACAAACATTACATACAATGTTTGTGTGTGAGTCAGTGAAGTACTTGTGTATAGCTGTGATTATGTGTGTGATTGTGTGTATCTCTGCGTATGTGTTTAGTAGATAGCTCCCTTATTTCCTGTCCTCAAATATTGCAATCCCACATAAAGATAACAAATAAGGGATTTATCTACTAAACAACTGAAAATAAGAAAAGGGCTTTTTTTTATCCTTTAGCTGTTTAGTAGATAATTTTTTATCCTTTAGCTGTTTAGCAGAGATTTCCATATTTAAAGATACCAAATGAGGGTGCTGTTTAGCAGATAGCACCTTATTTGGTGTCCTTAAATATGGCAATCCCATAAACGGAAGCAAATAAAGGAGTTATCTGCTAAACAAAGATTGAAATTAAGAGGTGTCAGCCAGCCCATAACAAGAAATCTGGGTGGCTAATGTGAATTATATGCAAATGTGTAATCAGATGCCAGCATGCAGAACACAGCATGCTGGCATCAGACAGCCAATGGCAGCATATTACCCCATCCCCTAGTGAGAAGTTTTACTGCTCCACCTCCCCCTCCTGTTTTGACTGTGGTATCTTATGTGCCCCCCCCATATATATTGTTCCTAGAGTCACCACGATGTCTGCATGTGTGTCAATGTGTATCTGTGTGTGACTGTGTTTGTGTGTGTATGTCCGTGTATGTGTATATGTGCAGACATATAAAAATCTCGCCAACACTACACACAAATACACTCTTGCATTTCAACGTCAACACTACATACAAACCCCACCATTATATATAACCATACCACTGCATTCAAATACCACACAACACACAAATGCATGCTTGCATTCAAACGCCAACACTACATACAAACACACCGCTACATTCACTCACATATACTCCATACAAAAACATGCATACATTCAAAAACACAAACACTGCTTAGTGCTAAATACATTAAAATATTTTTTTGTTGTTTTTATATTTAAAGTTGAGGGGGGGAGCAAGGGGGGGGGAGGGTGCCAAAAATAGGACCCGCCCCGGGTGCCAAATGCTCTAGGTACGCCCCTGAGTACAAGTGTCCCATGATGTCAGGTTTCTGAAAGATTTTGCCGGCCTTTTATATTCCATTCTGTTGGCAGGGCATCTGCTCTAAGTAAGCCGGTATTGTTATTATTTATTAATTGCATCAAGGTTTCTTTAGTTAATTTATGTGTTTCTTCCGAATTTAAATTCATATGCCACCAAATGTCATTGTAAAGTTCATTGTTACAGAATATTGTTCCAGGATGGTTTTTCACTCCAGTAGGAAATCTATATTCCTCTTCTTCTGCTCCTTCCTATTAACCACTTTTTCTGAGTTGTAGGCAACGATCTGTGTCAGAAGACTGCTTTGATAGTCAATCTGGTTTTGTCAGTACCATGTTCCATCTTGAGAAACAGCTGGGTGTTGACAGTTATCAGCCTTTATTTCTTTTTCCGGTCATCTTCTGTCTGGAAACATAATAGCAATGTCCAGAATTAGCATAGCACTTCTTTTCAGCATAAGAAGGCTGTTTGCGCTAGTCATTCAATGATAAACTATATGGCAAAGTATTTTCTTAATCACCTTCATAGGTGCATCCAAAGTCTTTCACAAGCATCTGTCTCGTCTTTTTCTGTTTCCAGCATGCTTTACCAATCACATATTTCCCATGTAGAATCGTTTTTTGGAATAATCTCAATAGGTTCCTTGTGAAATACCAGTGTAGGTCACATATTCAATCATTTCACTGTGAGCAATGTCTCTCCTTTTGGAGGTAGTCCTCACGATCACAGAACTTGTATAGTGTGCAGTCCAATTCAGTTCAGGTGCTTCCTGCTTGTTAACATAATCCCAGTTTTAAAACGACAGCTAGGGTTGATGTTATGATAATGCTGCAGATTGGAGACACCATAACCAATTTCCTAGCATCCTTTTGCTTCCATCTTTACATTTCTTTCTTACTGTATAAGATAATTCAGGTTCAGTCTGTTTTCTCCAGAGTCTTTCTTATAATGATGTTGATGATTCATTTTTCATACATTCCATGTTAACTGTGAATGTATCACGTCTGTCTGTTTATCCTTCTCCTTCACCTTTGCAGGTTCAGATGTCAGATCATGATTCAGTCTGTTACGTGGCTATGATTCTGGTGGCTTTTCTGTCATCCTCTGTTTGTTTTATCTTTCCATCTTTAACAGCATCCATTGTATCAGTCAGTGGTTCTGTGAACGTCTTGGAAGTATTTTAGCAGGTTGTAAAATATCAAATTCACTGTTCTCTGTTGGCTCTGATTGTTCTCTGTAGTAAAAGTTCTCGGAGTCACCCTCTCCAGGACAAGCTGGCCAACAGAAGGAAATAGGTGGTGGTGCATGGTGAGGTGGGCTGGAAAAAAAAATTCCCTAAATTTCTCTAATAGAACCAATGGTTCTAAGCTCTCCCTGGTGCAGAAATATGTTTGTCAGTGAAAAACATGTAACATTTCATATGGTGTCTCACCATTTGTATCATCAGGTATGTTGTGAATGCTCATCTGTACCATGGGAATAAATAGATACCACTGTGTGGGGCAAGCAACTAGTAACTTGGTTAATAATCATTTAACCTCAGCATTCTCCCAGACCACAACCCCACTTCTTTGGGGGTGGTTGGGGCACTGAAATCCCAAAGTAACCCAAATGTGGTTGCCCAGTTTTAGGTTTCCTTTGCAGTAACTGCAGGACCACCATCCAAATGGATGGTCCTGGGATTATCAAATGCATACTAAGGAAATTAGACTAGAAAATGTGGTATCAGAGGTTGCACTTCGCACAGGATATATCCAAGTAAACCTGGTACATGCAGCAACACATACAAAAACATATTTATAACCATGAGATGTTGGCAAACTTCCAATATATAGTAATTCAAAAAGTATGTTAGATATTAATATTTCAATAAACAGTACATCAGTAATGTGGCAATAAGCAAATGCTTATGATTACTAAACACAGGAATTACAGTATTTCCCATATTGGACCACCAATATTCCTTTTCAGGAGTCAGAAGTACATTACCTCTCTCTATAAGAGCTTGTCCTAGCCATGAAAAAGCTTTTCGGCAAGTCTATCTTTCCTCTATAGGAAGAACAACCAACATATTACCTTCAATGGTTATTATGTAATTAACCCCTCTAAACGATAGGAGTATTTATGCGGATACCAGGTGGATTATTTCTGGATATCCTTGCAAGCATAAACTGAGAGATAGGGTATGCGATGTGATCCAGTGACCACAGAAAAGCGTTGGTAGACACATTGCATCAAAGTGCCTGTTACAGACCAACTACATGAGGAGAGGGCCCATGCTTTGTTATAAGCATGTCCATACACGTATTACAGTGCCAGGCTTTCAATTTGTTATCACAAAGCAAAATGCAGTTGTGGATATAAACTCACGACGTGTCGTAAGAAAAACAGTTTGAACACCAGACTGAGACTCAAGATCAGTGAACAGTGGACCAAAATATATAAATGAAATCCTATCAATTAATATACTTTCAATATATTTTCTTTAAATTACTTTATTCTCTGTATTAACTATGAAATATTAAAGTTAAAACAATAATATTTAAAAGCCAACTTTTAGTGTGGATAGGAATGACAAGGCCGTTCATAATGTGAGATAAAGAACAGCTTTTTAAAACCGAATAGTCTGTGAACACAAAATGACCTTGCGCTGAAATTTCACTTGCAGGGGTAAAAAAAAAAGAAATTTTTTTTTTGTAAATTAATTAATTAATTAAACATAGTTAGAACCTCCCTCAAAGTCACGATTACTTTGCAAGAAACATGTCGTCCTTAACTACTGGGTAAGTCTATTAAACAGTGAAATAGCATTGTTACCCTGTATATCATGTTGTCACAGCTATAATTTGCAGTATTACAAACTATTTATAAGTGTTGTGCAAACTGTTCATTAAAAGTCAGTGATCTAGCGAGCTATAGAACATTTATTTATTTATTCTTTAAAGCTCTGACCTCAATCGGCAAAGCAATATTGTATTGGTGTCCATTGCAAACTGCTTTCTTACTTGCTGCTCTCAAAAATTCTGAATATGTTCTGAGATTTCTTGGGCAATAATAAATCCCCAAAAAACAACAACTTTGCATTTATGCTAAACCTGCCTGTTGTAAACGGATTCTGTATATTTCTTGTCATAAGTACTTGTACTTAAATCTGTTTAACAAAGCTGTTTATATTGTGACTGTTTATATATTTTTATTATTACTATTTATTTTATAAAAATTTTTTAACATTGCTTAATTTTTAAAGATACCTGCATATTTAATTAAATATCCTGTATATGTCTTTAAGGCATAAAATATCTGCAAATTAAGATTATATACAAAAATGCACGTTCTGGGTGTTCCCGTCATTCTTTTTCTATCATTTACTTATTTATTTAAAAAAAAATTAAGTCTGGAATCTGATTCCTTTTGGGACGATCACCCCTCTGAGCCCCCCAGTTTCAGAGGCTTCTTTGGAGGTGACCACTGAAAAGTATAGATTCTATAAAATAGATGTGAGGGGGCTTTGGACAGTAATGTCACCTTAATTATACTTTTCATATAGCAGATATGTGATATGCAATGTGATTTAATATATCAGAGTATTATCACTTTAATTGACACTGCATTTTTTTTATACATTATTCTTTATGCATTATTATTCATTTTTTTTCTTAAATTTTAATGTCTGTTTAAAATATTGCAGGCTTTGCAATATCAAATTAATTTTGCAGTATATATATTCACAATGCTCTTACAACATATTATTAAAATTTAGCCTCTTTTAGGATTGTAGAATATGTGGTGGAACTGAATCCCTATATATGAGATTTCAAACTGTATTTTTATTTTTACTCTTTGCCCTAATCTGTATTTATATACATAATTGCAGCAGCATATAGCTTTTAAAGAAGCAATTATTTCACCCTTCATGCGTGGTTGACTGTGGAGTTTTTAAAACCTACTTTTTATTTTTTTATAAATCTGTTTTTGGTTCTAAGAGAGCAGGCTGCTGAATGCATGTAAATGCTGTTATTGCCTAGTCTATATACTTTTATTTATAAACAACATTGATATATTTATATATAAACAACTTTAATATTTAATCTTATTTTCTGAAAACCTAGTTTATGAAATTCACTGAGATTACATGTGTCTGATCTGATTACAGTCAATAGTACAATATAATTGTTCTAATTTCCTTACTACTAGTACGGTGGAATAGTACCACTGATTTAAGTAAGCTTTCCATTTTAACCCCTTAACGACGCTGGACGGAAATTTTCCGTCAAGGCAGACCTACCCTTAAGGACGCTTGACGGAAAATTTCCGTCAATTACTAAAGTTAACGCCAGATCGCGGCGATCGTGGGGTTAACGCTGTTGCTGGGTGCCTCGGCGTTTGAGGAAGCCCAGCAACAGCCAATAGTGCTGTCCCAGCACATGTGATCGCTGTGACAGCCAGTCACAGCGATCACAGTTCTGCTGGGAATTCTGATCCTCCTCCCTCCACCTCTGTGTGTGATTAGAAGTGGAGAGAGACGGATCGTTTGAAACTTTGTGTCCCTGACAGACACAAAGTGTTTAAAAGTTTAAAAAAAACCTTTTACCCCCTTTAACTTTAAAAGTTTAACCCTTTGATCACTGGCAGCAGTGATCACAATACTGATCACAGTACTTTACTGAGATCAGAGGGTTTTTTTTAACCCTCAGTGGTTAACTTTATTTTCTTTTTAACCCTCAGGGGTTAAATATATTTAAATTTTTTTTTTTTTACTTTTATTTTCAGTTAATTAGTTAGCTGGGGTGGATTGAAGCTAGGGGGAATTGGGGAATCTAGCATTAGTGTAGCTAGGAAGCTGAAAAGTTTTAGAAAGTTATTAAAAGTTTATAAAAGTTATTAAAAGTTTATAAAAGTATAAAAAAAAGTGAAAAAAGGAAAAAAGAGGAAAAAAAAAGTAGTTTATTTTAAGTCAAAGCATTTCTGCTTCGCTAGGTGTAAGCACGGTGATCTGATTCCTGTTTTTACCCACAGGGGTTCATTTAAAAAAAAGTTTTTAGAAGTTTTAGAAAGTTTTTAAGAGTTTTAAAAAAGTTAAAAAAAGTATTAAAAAATTCAGAAAACAAAAAAAGTATAAAAAAAGTTAAAAAAACAAAACAAAAAAATACGTTATTTAGTTAAAGTTAATTTTAAGCTTTCACCATGCTTAGAAAGTTTAGTGCCGAGGAGGCATATAATATATTAGCAGCTGACTCAGAGGCAACCGACACTGCCTCAGAGAGTGCAGAGGGTGACTATGTGCCAGACACAGATGAAGAAAGTGACTATACCCCTGGCACTGCTCCTGGCGCTGATATCTGGGTGCCCCCTAACAATTTTGTCCCCGACATCCCTCTGTTCACTGCGACTCCTGGTATTCAGGGAGACGTGACCAGCTATAACTCCCAGGATTTTATGGAGCTGTTCCTTGGGGATGATTTTTTAGGGCAGATAGCTACACAAACAAATATTTATGCAGCGCAGTATCTGGCACAAAATGCAACAAGTCACCTTGCCACAAAAGGGAGCTGGTACCCCACCAGTGTGCCAGAGTTAAAACAGTTCTGGGCACTAACCATGCTAATGGGAATTATAAAAAAGCCCAGCATCCGAATGTACTGGTCCAAAAACCCAGTATGCAATACTCCCATTTTCTCTCAGACCATGAGTAGGCCCAGATACGAAACAGTACTGCGTTTTCTGCACTTCAATGATAATTCGAAGTGCCACCCCAAAGATCATCCGCAGTATGACAAACTCTATAAAATCCGCCCCCTAATTAACCATTTTAATAAAGAATTTGGCATAATTTATACTCCCCAAAAGAATATATGTATTGACGAGTCCCTAATGAAATACAAGGGTAGACTGGGGTTTAAGCAATACATCCCAGCCAAAAGATCCCGGTATGGCATCAAGCTATACAAGTTATGTGAAAGTAGCAGTGGGTATGTTTATACCTTCAGAATATATGAAGGTAAAGATAGCCACCGGGATCCCCAGGTTGCCCTGATGTAGTTGGGACTAGCGGAAAAATAGTTTGGGATCTAATGAACCCGCTACTGAACAAGGGGTACCACCTCTACCTTGATAATTACTACAATAGCATACCCCTCCAAAAAATGCTATATTGTTTTGAGACTGTGGTCTGCGGCACTATCCGCAAGACACGCACTGGCTTCCCCAAGGCTCTGGCAGAGAAAAAAATTAAAAGGGGGGAAACGGCTGCTCTATGCCAGGACGAACTGCTGGCTCTGAAATACAGAGACAAAAAGGAGGTGTTCATACTGACTACCATGCACAGTGAACACACACGCAGGGTCGCAGTTCGTGGCAGACAGGAAACAAGACGGCTGCCTGTCTGCATTAAGCAATACAATAAACACATGGGGAGAGTTGACCTGTCTGATCAACTGCTGCAGCCATATCTGATAATGAGAAAGACCAGGGCCTGGTATAAGAAAGTGGGCATTTATTTAATGCAAATGGCTACTCACAATGCATTCATCCTTTTCAAAAAGG